TAGATCACTTGAGTTAGGAGTTCAAGACCAGCCTGGCCAACATGGTGAAACCTCTTCTCTACTAAAAAATTAGCCAGGCGTGATAGTGAGCACCAGTAACCCCAGCTACTCAGGAGGCTGAGGCAGGAGAATAGCTTGAACCCAGAAGGCGGAGGCTGCAGTGAGCCAAGACTGTGCCATTGCACTCCAGCCTGGGTGACAGAGCAAAACTTCACGTTAAAAAAAAAAAAAAAGAATGAATGAGATCTAGTATTTGACAGCACAATAGGGTGGCTACAGTCAATAATAATTTTAATTGTATATTTAAAAATAATTAAAATAGTATAACTGGATTTTTTGTAACACAAAAGATAAATGTTTGTGGAGAATGATACCTCATTTGCCCTGATGTGATTATTACACATTGTATGCCTATATCAAAATACCTCATGTACCCCATATATATAATATATAGTATATATATAATATATATGTTATATAGTATACATGCTTACATAATATATGTTATATAATAAATATGTTATATATTATATATATTTATATATAATACATATGTTATAATTATATATATTTATATATAATACGTGTTATATATATAATGCATATATATAATGTACTCACAAATTTTTTTTTAAACTACAAATTCAGAATGTAAGTGGTTGAATTGGTGTAATGGATTTTTTTTTTCTTTTTGCTCTAGTCACCATTTTCAAAATATGATTTAGTGCAGTTATATTACTTTTATATTGATAAAAGCTTACCAATGAGAAACTTCTACCACTTTAAGGATCTTGCTATGAAAAGGGAAAATTTTAATTCATGTGTTCTAAGTACAGCATCCTCATTTTACAAGCGAGAGGTCTCTGATAGCTGATCAATTAAAAGCATAGCCCAAGACCTTGCATTTTATAAATATTCTAAGATTCTTAACCACCAAAGAAGGGTTCTTTCTTCCAAACAATGGTCTCCAAACTCTTTTGATTGTATTCCCCTAACAGTAAAAAATAACATGAGACCACATGGCTAACAGATGAGTATTTATTGGTATATATTCTTTTTCTGTTTTTTGAGACAGAGTCTCAATTTGTTGCCCAGGCTGATTGCAGTGGCACAATCATGGCTCACTGCAACCTCTGCCTCCCAGGTCCAAGTGTATTGGTATATATTTTATCAGCTAATATCTTATGTACCTCATATACAAAACTTTAAAAAATACAAACATTAAATGAATAATATATAAAAAAAACTTTTCTACATTTCCCCCCATGCTTCAATGGAAGTCCTGAACACTCCCACCCCATTGTGTTTACTTTCCATCCTACAATATAGTATAGCAAAGAGAAAGTGTCCTTAAGCATTAAAAGGACTTTGGTTTGAATCTTAGCTCTCCCACACAGAAGCACTAGATACTTAAGATAATAATTTCATGTTCAAAGCCAATGGTTCCATCTGTAAAATAGTAATAAATAATATTTATCTCACACAATTGTAAGAATAAGATCTATCTTTTATAGAAAAATCACCAAAGCCTGATACTGTTATAATTTCACTGTCATCCATTTTGACTACTTCTTCAATGCTACGTTCTTTCTTCTGTATTTGTGTCTCATTTCCCTTTGCCACTCAGTCCGATCCACTATTTGAAACCTTCTCTACTCTCTTAAACCCTAATTAACGCATTTAACTCTTCATTGTTAGCCAGTGATGTCATATACAATTTTAGAGAGAAGTTAGAAGTCACTTCAACTTTCTGCCAAAGCCATAAAAATAAACCTGCATCAGTATGCATAACTTCTTCCCTACTTCAGTCACTTAAAAAATATCTCTCAAGTACCTTTTATAAGTCGGATACTGCTTTAGGCACTGGTGACGAAGTTGTGGACAAAGATTAATTTCATCCCTTATAGAACTTACATTCTAGTGATGGTGTATTTTTAAAAGTATTGAACAAATATGGAGTGTGTTGCATGATGGTAAATGTTACTGAGAAAAACCCAGCAAGGTAAGGGGCTGTGAATGCTGGGGGTAGGGGGAGTTGCTACTCTACGTAGAGTCATCATAGCCTCAATGATAAGGTACCATTTGTATAGAGACATCAAAAGGGAGGGATCTGTCTTGTCTTTTGAAAGGATCACTTGGGCTACTGTGCTGAAAATACACAGGAGGAGGGGAAGAAAACAAAACAAAACAAAAACCCTGTTAGGAGGCTACTGCAAATACATAAAAGTGAGGATGGTGGCTTGGACCAGGGTGGGAGCAGTGCAGGGCATGAGTTCACACTGTGGCCATACTCTGAGGGCGAGGCTATAACATTTTCTGATTAACTAGATGTGGCGTTCCAGAGAAAAAGAATAGCCAAAGATGACACCAAGGTTTCTGGCCTAAAGAGAAGAGTGAAATTGTCACTATTGAGGTAAGAAAACTTTAGAACTAGGAGAACTGGGGAATTAAACAAGAAATCAGAAGTTTGTTTTTAGTTTTGTTGAACTTGAAATTTCTATTAGATGTCAAATAGGTAGCTGGAAATGTGTCACGCATTTATTAGCAAGCAACAGGCTAATATATGAATCTGAGAGCGGCAGCACCAGGGTGACACATGAAGTCATGGAACTAAGTGAAATCCACAAGGGAATAAATGCAGGTATATAAGAAAAGAGGTCCAGAGATTAAGCTCTGGAACACTCCAATGCTTCGGGAGTCTAGGAGCTGAGGAGGAACCAGCAAAGGAGACCAAGAAGGAGCTGCCAGTATGAATGGAAAAATAATACTCGATGAGTAAGGAGTTAAGAGTATTCTGGAAAAGAAATAATGCCGTGTTGGCTGGTGAGGTGGCTCACGCCTGTAATCCCAGCACTTTGGGAGGCCAAGGTGGGTGGGTCACCTGAGATTGGGAGTTCAAGATCAGCCTGATCAGCATGGAGAAACCTCTCTACTAAAAATACAAAAAATTAGCTGGGTGGGGTGATGCATGCCTGTAATTCCAGCTACTTGGGAGGCTGAGGCAGGGGAATCACTTGAACCTGGGAGTCGGAGGTTGCAGTGAGCCGAGATCGTGCCATTGCATTCCAGCCTAGGCAACAAGAGCGAAACTCCATCTCAAAATAAAAAATAATGCCATGTTTTATATAGGAAACTATGTGTAGTTAAGAACTACTGGAGTATAAATCTGAAAGTCAGAAATTGAGACAAGAGCTGCTATCACTAGGCAGGAGAGACTGAGCTTTCCCTGGTGGGATATGTGGAATCGCAATAGACACAGGCGGTGGAGTGAAGGCATTACATTTGCTTTTAGGTGGTCCACACCAGCTGCAGGGTGGAGGATGAAGTTTTGCAGGATTCTGGGAAGGAAAGGCAGGCAAGACAGTAAACAGAAGACACACCAGGAGAAGAATACAATGTCTCAGACAAGGGAGATGATGAAGACACAGAATTAGACCAGTGATAAACTGCCCATTTACTGGCATAAGAAACAGATGAGTCACAATTTGGGGAAGGAGAAGGTGATGACATGTTTTTGATGTTTTGAATTTGAGGTGTCAGTGAAATTAACAAGAAGCCATGCTTGGCATTGGGATACATAAGTTTGAAACTTAAGGGTGAGTTTAGAACTCAAAATAGATTTGGGAGTTATCAATACAGAGGTAGTAAGTAAACTACCACAATGGATGAGATTACCTATGACAGAAGGAAGTATTTTTCTTTAAACACGCTATTAAGGCCAGGATGAGGGTAAGAAAGATGATAGAAAAGAAGCAAATATGGTAGGAGGAAGGAAAAAAAAGACTGGGAAAGAAAAAGAAGCGGAGAATAGAAGAAAAACAGGTGATAGATCGATAGATAGAGCATTCTAAGCTAGGCATACCATTAATTCTGTGTAAATATCTGTGGTTTTTGCTATCCCTTCCCAAGACAAATAGCATATTTACTGGCTTTTCTGACCAAAGTTGCATTTCGAACTGATTACTTCAGGGAACAGTCTACAGAGATGCTTTGTTGTTGTTGTTGTTAAACTTGGTTTACTGAAACTACACTGTTATTACTGTTAGCAAAGTACATTTTTATTCAGCAATGTGCTGGGCTAAATGCCAAGGATACAAAAATGAGTAAGACACAATTCTTTGATTCAAGAACATATACCCAGGATGAAGGATCCAGAAGCAAATGGAATAATCTTTTCAACATGCAAATATGATCACATCCCTTTACTTAACACCCTCTGGAGCAGAGATTGCTAGTTGTCTCTCAGTAACCATATTTCTCTTCTTCCCTCACGTTTAACATTGCCATTGAGAAGAAAGATTACACTCCCACCTTCCATGTTGGTAGATGTGGCCATATAACTAACTTCTAAACGTAAGTGGAAATGACAGCACTGTCTAGAAAGTCGCCTCACAGAGAAGGACATTTGCTTTTCCTCTTTCCCACTTTCCTTGGTCTGCTGGCTAAAACGTAGATGTGATGGCTGGAACTGGAGCATCCATCTTAGACCAAGAGTGGACCTTGGAAATGGAGCCTACACATGGCAGAGCAACAAGATAGAAGGAGTTCGGTACCTGGAAGCTGTGGACTAGCAACAGACTTTTTGAATGCAGGGAAGATTAGCTAAGCCCTTATTTTGTTGTTGTTGTTGTTATTGTTTCTGGTGGCTGAAAACCAATTAAAACACCGTTAATATGATCATTATAATAGAATTATGTCTACCTTTCAGCTCTATTTTATCTATTATTTATCTTTGTCTACCTATCCATTCAACCTGACATCTGACTCTAAAGTGGAAACGGAATGTATAACTGATTTAACACAGAAAATTCAGTGTTCATCTGGTAAAAAATATTTCCAGGTAAAAATTCAAGCATTTAGTAACAGACATATTAATTTTTTTAATCTAAAAAAATCATTACACTAAGTTTGCAACATTAAAAATAAAATTCATTCTTCAATAACACAACAGAATTACTGATTTCTATATTTAGAATAACTTTGTTAATATTTTAACTTACTTCTTTTGAAGGATTCATTGGTAATGTAAAGATAGTTTTCCAGTATGACCAGACAAACATTGCAAAAAGTAGATGATAGGCCATCAGGCACACAACTAAAATGAGAGAAACATAATTTTCATCATAATATGCAAATACATACTAAAATTATGGCATTCACAAAAGATCTACTTGTTTTAAAATAACCAAATTACCAATTATAATAAATTATGAAAGTTTTCTTACTTCATACTAGAATAAACACAACTCAACAAATTTATTTCTAAAGCCAAGATTTTTTTTTAATTTCTAAATGCATAATGAGTTCTCTGCCCATGAATAAAAGCCTCCCATCTGTAGACAGACCATATATTGGCAAAATGACTAACAAGGACCTTTTCTAAATTATAAAAATAAGGCAGTTATACCTGCAACCTCAAACAGCAAACATAGCATTAAACAAGTATTAAAACACTCAGGCTTTAAGAACTTTGCTTCACTGACATAGAAACAAAGGCAGTTCCTATTTGAGAAGCTGTTTGCTTATTTGCTTGGCTGTAGTCAAAGCTGATATAATAATAACATACTTAAACAGAGAACATCTGGACAAAGAGATCTCCTCCAGTGGGAGTTCAAGTGTCTTATCTACCACATGGGACAATTGTTTAAGAAAGTATTCTGAATACTTTTTTCAGTAATGCATGCAAACACACTCTGTATGGTGTTAGTCTTAAAATACTATGCAAATTTCTTTTCTTTTCTTTTTTTCTTTTGAGACAGGGTCTCACACTGTCACCCAGGCTGGAGTGCAGTAGCTCACTGCCACCTCTGCCCCAAGGGCTCAAGCAATCCTCCTACCTCAGCCTCCCGAGTAGCTGGGATTACAGGCATGTCCCAACACACCTGGTTAATTTTTGTGGTTTTGTTTTTTTGTTTGTTTGTTTTAGCAGAGACAGGATTTCATCATGTGGCCAGGCTAGTCTTGAACTCCTGGTCTCAAATGATCTTCCCGCTTTGGCTTCCCAAAGTGTTGAGATTATAGGCATGAGCTGCTGTGCCCAGCCCAAATTTTAAATATTAATTTTGTATATGGTGATAAGAATTCCTTCTGGGTAATACATTAATACACAATTTAATTCTGTAAGATAGCATTGAATAAAATATGATAATTTAAATGCAACATATTTGGTATTTTAAAACTTTAATGGCAATTTTTAATTTTTCTAAAGAATGATGATACTCACAGAATCATTAAAAATTTGAATTATTCAACAAGGCACTTTAATCAGTGTGAGATGACTAAAGCAATGATATTTTTTCACAACTTAGGTAGGTGACTCAGTTACAAAGTAATATTTCGAATTAGGAAAGGAAATTGTTGATATCCCTATACCTCAAAGCCTTAATTAAGAATCTTTGGCCCAATTACAGCCATTTCAGGATAGAATTCTTTGCTAAATGTCTGAAAGAATTCAATCTGCAAACTCAGAAAAATGAGATATCTTTAACGCTAGCTTGTCACCACATTCTCAAAGAATAATTTAATAATCCCAACCAAATCGAAATAAATACAATTTGTTTTTTCCAACTATTAAAAAAATTGATAACATTCATATAATCTAGCTTACCTTGTTCACCAGTGTTTTCCATGGACACTATAAATAGAAAAACAGGTAATAGGTTATATGAAGCTTATGGCAAACAAGGTTTGACATAGACATAAGGCATTTAAATTGCTTAATAATTTGGCTTTCCTTCAAACCAACATTCTGTAAATATTCATTCAACTTTATTTGGTGGAGGAAAAGACTGGTGGCTGCAATCAGCCATGCCTCCATTGTGCCCTTTAGCCCTGGCTCCTGTGCAGCCAACAAAATTGTCAAGTGTGCCCTTGAGGGTCTTATTCCTATATCATTTGGTTGATTGGTTTTCCTTCCAACTATGGAGTTTAGATAAAAGCAATGCTCTCCAAGTCATTATATTTCCACAGGCATTTATTGCTCTTTATAAATCCGCAACCACCTGGTGAGCTTTCCACAAAGAAGAAAATGTTGTGTCCACAGCAGATACTCTTTTCCCCCCTAATTCCCTCCTAAGTACAAATGCTTATGCACAATGACTTTACTTGCTTCCTACGGCACAGTGAGAGGCCAGGCAGTGCTGGGAAACTGCCATTCCTCACAGGCTGCTGTAAATATTCCAAGCTAGCAGGTATTATAGATTAGGCCAGGGGCTACAAGCGCTAAAGCAAGCTGAGACAAAAGCTGTATTTAGTAATCAAGACATCTGTATGCCTTTTGTATTGTGTATTTGTTTTCCCATTTGGTCTCTCTCTTTGTACTAAAGTCTTGCCTTATCTCAGCTGTATCAAGTCTGACTTTGTATATTTTTGTCCTTATTCAGCTTCTTAAAAAGGCACAGGATCTCAGGCCTTAGTGCTGGAATAAAATGCCACAGCCGTCTGAAGCCTGGACCAGAGGGTAGTGTGAGAAGTTTTTAAGATTGCTCAATCCATCCAGTCTCCTGCCCAAGAGAGCTACCAAGTATAAGTTCAGGCATTTCTAGAGCTAGAAGGAACCCATAGCTTTTTGGAGGGCAGCTCATTCCATTACTGAATTGCCCTTAGAATAAGAAACTTTATCCTTCCAGTGTGTTGAAATTTGCTGCTTTTTGATTTTTATCTGTGATATCGAGGCTTCTAAACCATAGCAATAAACAGAAAATCTAAATGACAGATCTTCAAATATTTGACGTTATTGTATCTCCCTGAAATGTTCTAGTTCAAACCAACTAATACATGGTTTCCAGATCTCTTACCAACCCAGATGCCACATCTGTAAATGCTTCCTAGGTTCTCCATTCCCTTTAGCATTTCTGATCCCCAGAATGGGACAGGCAGGCGTGGAAGATCTTTGACTTATGAATGGCCTGTTGTATAAGTCCGCTTGTAAATGAGAGGCTAGTTAGAGTTTGCCTTCTCATAAATCCCCAAAGTGGCTCAGCTGAAGGCACAGGAAAGGCTTGAGGCAAATCTGTTTTTTAATATCTGAACCTACTGCCGCAGTTGCGCATTTCTCTCTAGCCACTGCTACCCTGTCTTCAAAAGTGCTCCAAAATTGACAACAACTCTTTTCTGGGTCAAAATTTCCAATCCTTCAGCGGAGCTGATCTAAGGAAAGGAAAAGCAATTTGACCACTTGTGCATTTATGTATCAATGACCCTTACTGACCATTCCAGAGGTGCTGGTGCTTTAATAAAAATGTGTTTGCTATTCCCTTGTCTTGAGTTGAGAAAATTGAAAACTGTAAAACAAAATGATATTTTTAAAAAGGTATAGTTGGGGGCTGGGTACAGTGGCACACACCTGTAATTCCAGCATTTTGGGAGGCCGAGATGGGTGGATCACCTGAGATCAAGAGTTCGAGACCAGCCTGGCCAATATGGGTGTGGTGATGTGCACCTGTAATCCCAGCTACGTGGAGGATGAGGGATGAGAGTCACTTGAATCTGGGAGGCAGAGGTTGCAGTGAACCAACGTTGTGCCACTGTATTCCAGCCTGGGTGACAGAGCAAGACTCTGTCCTGAAAAAATTTTTTAAAAAAGGTATAGTTGGTATGAGCTGCTAATCTTTTTGACCTGGACCACTACTCTATTAGCTTGATAAGCATTCGAAGATTTTGCTTTTGAAGCAATTTTTGTTTTTTGACCATTCACACCTTGCTTTTCCCTAAATGTACTTCAAAATCCACAGATGCTCTAGTTTTTAAAAAGCACACAACTTACACATAAACACATGCTTACAGTAAATAATTCTGTAACATTTGTAGAATGAAATGCGACAGTTCAAAAGGCTATATCCAATTACACTTTCACCAAGATTATGAGCCTATTCAATTTCTCATAAACATAAGTCTGTTTAATTTTTATCGACACCATAGGCCAAAATAAAAATCATTCTTTTTTTTTTGAGACAGAGAGTTTCGCTCTTGTTACCCAGGCTGGAGTGCAATGGCGCGATCTCGGCTCACCGCAACCTCCGCCTCCTGGGTTCAGGCAATTCTCCTGCTTCAGTCTCCTGAGTAGCTGGGATTACAGGCACGCACCACCATGCCCAGCTAATTTTTTGTATTTTTTTTTTTAGTAGAGACAGGGTTTCACCATGTTGACCAGGGTTGTCTCGATCTCTTGACCTCGTGATCCACCTGCCTCGGCCTCCCAAAGTGCTAGGATTACAGGCGTGAGCCACCCGCGTCCGGCCAAAAATCATTCTTTTAGTGTTCAGTTTCCTTATTAGTAGTGAAGTTTGGCATTATTTTAAAAATGTGATGACTGGCTTTTCCTTTCTCTTCTAAGTGAGTATTTTCCTATTGGCCTACGTAGTTATTGAGAACCTTTTATATATTCTAAACAGAAATCTCCTATCTGTTATACATATTGCAAATAAAGTTGCATACAGCTATTTTAAATGATTTAATAAACACTAGCAAAATTTGTATCACTTTTCATTGATTAAATACCATCAAAGTTTACAAATTAACTTATTTCATTAACAGATATACAGACTACACAAGGTTTTAGTTTGTGATACTCAGGAAATGAATGTTTTCCCAACCATGTTTATTTAATCAGTAAATCAAGTGATTTAGCTTATAATTTTCAATTTAATAGCGGCAGAGTTGTCAAGCACAAAGTTTCCTTTCTCACAGTGTAAAAACACATATAATGCAATGCTATTGTTAAATGCAAATATTTTTGTTCAAAAGTAACTGAGTGATTTTGTTCAAAAGTGCTCAAATTTAGCCTCACTTTTCTAATATATATGCATATAAAGATAATATATGGAAAACAGACACTCATTTTTGAAATCATATAGATGGTAATCAAATATAATTTGATTATTTATACCCGTACAAAAACTGAACAGCAATACTGAACATAACTGGGACAAATCTAAAAGTAACTATTGGTTTTAATGTGAACTTTGACTTTTACTCCAGAATTGTTTAATTTTCTTACTTCGCACACAGAATTTCACTTTGGTCTACTTAGCAATGATGTTGATACCTATTCTTCAGTTTTACCATAGAGAAATTTCAAGTGTTGTACAGTCTTCTTTATCTCATTTCCTTTAAACCATCTATTGAGATAAATTTATAGTTATTTTAATTTTTGTCAACAGAAAAGTGCGGTTCGCTCAGTTTTTAACCAAAGCAAATGAGCTTTACACTCAAAGTCAAAATGAGTAAGCATATTAATTCTACCCTTGAAATTTTTTACTTTCAATTTAAACATTTCCTGCATGTGACAAAAACGTTACAACCTTGAGTTCTGCTGGATCATATTAAAATGAATTCCTCATTAAAGCACAATAACTGGCACAGAGCATCTGCTCCATATGTGTTTACTGAGTAAGAGACTGACTTAGACAAACAGATGATGACAACTAATTTGAATCACATAAAAGTAGTATATCAAAGTGGACATACGACAAGTGTTCATTCTTCTTTTTTGGGCCTGAGAAACTCCAGAGAAAAGTTATTTCTTTTACTATGTTAGCTTAGCACACTGTAGAACTCAACTCATAGTTGACAACACCGAAAGTAATCTCTTCTGTAAAGTGAAGAAAATACTTCTCTAAAGAGAGGAGAGAGGGAGAAGACAAAATGGTTCCTGTTTGTTTAAAAAAGAAAAGGTTGAGGGAGATACTGGCTTCAACTGGGCTTCAAGCAACTTTGTAAACAGAAATGGTCTATAAGTTTACAGGGTTCCCTCCACCCCCACCTTTGGTTTTGGATCTTGCTTAGGATTTTACTTTTTTATAGCTGAATTTGTCAAAATGGAAAAGAGATTATTACTAAGCATGGTAGTTCCAAGAGCGATGGCTCAGGATAAAGAAGGCAAGGTCCAATCCTGTCTCTGCCACTTGCTCGCTTACACAAGCTACCCCACTTACTGCACTACAAAATGAGGGTAATAACCACAACAATATCATTAGGGCTGTAGCGAGAATTAAAAGGGATAATAAAGGAATGTACTTAACACAGTGCCTGGGGTATAAGCCCCATGAATACACAATGATAACATATAATCTTTCATTTGGCTAATACTAACCATAATTGTATAACATATAGGAAAGGGGGATAAAAAATAAACAAAAATTATGAAGAGAAAGGTAATATTTGTACAGGTTCCTGAAAGAAATCAATGCAAAATGTTGAATAAAAATAGACTTTGTAAGCAAAAATAAAAGGTGAAAAATAATTTAAATCTGAAATATCTTATAAGTCACTTGCCTTTTTATACGGATGTGTCATTTCAGAAACTTGTTTAAATCACAAAGGTGGTCTTCATTCTTAACACAGAGTAATGATGAGACATTAAAGCTTCTATCTTAATGTGCCAGTTAGTCATTTTGAGAACTTAAATGTGAAAGAATCTACTTTGGATAGGCACTGTTAAACTTAATGAATAAAAACAATTTTTTTTTTAAATGAAGACCTAAATGTTATATTCAGCCCAAAGAAGTCAGGTGCAGTTTATTCCTGGGAATTAAGAGCACTGCTAATATTCCACTAAAATATTTACCAGTCTTACATCTGCTGGATGGTATCATTCATACAATCAAAATACACACAATAGTAACACTGTGAATC